TTTGTACAATACATGTTTTGCTTATTTGGACATAGGGTTTACAAATGCAATCATGTACATTTCCATGACACCAACACGGAACAATTTTGGTAGCCACAATAAAATATGTAGTCACATCTGTGGAAGGAGATTGTTGCAGGGGCTGATTTTACATAGCAAACAGGATGAGGAAAGCGACCATCAAACAGAAGAGACCCATAGCTTCAGACAGGGCAAATCCCAAGATGGCATAGGAGAACAGCTGCTGCTTCAGAGATGGGTTCCTGTAATCGACAAGCCAAGGGTTACTCAAAAAGACCGCCACAATTCCAAACTTCTACATGTGCTAAAATTAAAACCAACCTGGCATAGCCAATAATCAGACTACCGAACACAGTCCCAATTCCAGCACCGGATCCAGCAACTCCGACTGTGGCAGCTCCAGCACCAATAAACTTGGCAGCAGTGTCAATATCCCTGCTTACGGCGCTGGTTTGAAAGCCTCTCAGGGAAACCTGGGTGAGGGGGCTCTGTGGCATCACAGCAACAGTGCTCTGCAGGAGGAAAAGAAAAGTCCCTCTAATTTAAGCTTCAGTGTTCTCAATGACCAATAAAGACAACCAAGGCAAAAAAAATTACTCTTTAAACTTGTTTAAATGTCAATAGCTCTGCAGCTGTATAATTTATAAGAAACATGCTTCAATCAGACTCAGAAAGGTCATAAGGACACAAGGTTACTTGACTTTCCTCAGGTCATTATCAAAACAGAATTTATAATCTAAATCCCATTTTAACCCCTACTTGAAATCTTTACCTCTGTTTTGGCCTCAGGCCTGGACAGTACAGAGGCAGACAGGGGTCTGTAAAGAGCCCGGGAACCAGCACGGACCTGTAGAGACATGGAGAGAGGTGGAATTAATAAAAGTTTGATTTCATTCATTTGAAGTACTACCATTCCAAGTCATCACTCCCACACATATTAGACACACCTTACATGTCAGTAATTCACAGCAACTAACAGCTGCAGTACTCAAGTGAAATGGAAATACAATTAACAAGTAAAAGTAAATCCGTTAAATAAACTTTGGTTACCATTTAATTAGAGGTTGACCTGATGCTGCAGGTGTAAATAGATTAGCTTAATCGATTATCCTGGACGAGTAACATGACCTTGGACGTATGCAAAGTGTTAAGGGTACTAGTACTTAAAGCATGTCCTAATAATCAGTTTTTCCTAACTAATTGCATTGCATGCGAATGCTTTTACTCCTTTCAAACCGGTGGGCTAGATTAGGCTAACAAAGGCGTTAGCCTCTTCTAACCTGACCTACAAAATCATTCACGGCAGTAGATGTAGTAGTTCGCAGTATTGCAAAAAACAAAACAAAATTTATATTTTAAGTATTCAGTGCATTGATCTTGCACGTCCTAGACTATTTCTTTATCCGCGAGAGGCTTGGCTAGGTTTAGCATTAGCCGCTGGCTAACCACCGGCCTAGTCGGCGGATACCCTTGGAAACAAGCTAGTCAAGTTCAATCGGAGGCCCACTAGATAAAATGCAAATGAAAGTACATCACAGCGATTCAGCCAGACAGAACATTTTAAACTCACCATGGCCGGCGTGGAAACAAACTTTGCACAGGCGTACATCTTGTAATATAAGGTAGTTTTAACCGGTTCGGTCAAGTCTGATAGAAGCCCGGGTCTCTCTGGAAAAGGAAGAGCGGAAAGAATTAAGGTCAAACGGATGTAAAAATGTCCGCAACAGAAAATAAAGACATCGGAATGTACATTCAGATTCACACTGTATGCTATTCTCACTTGTAGATCGCAAAAGTGAGCTGAGCAAGAGGATGAATGAAGATTTAAGAAGATACGGTTCTCATTCAAACTGCCATTAAAGACTTACCGACTGCAGAGGTCGAACCACAGTGGAGGAGAGAGAGCGCATGCGCGAGCTCATGTAGGGGAGACCCGGATGTGAGTGGAAGGTCATTTCAATAAAACTTTATTGAAAACGGAAAAGGGGCAAACAGAGCAAGGCCAATGGCAAATGTAAAAAAAAAAGAACATATATAAATGATATAATAAAAATAAAGGCATCTGTACTGGATTTACTATCTAAAAAACAAAACAAGTAAAAACTCCTATAACCCTATAAGACTGACGACATGGTACAAAACACTGTATGGTCAAAACTAGTTCTGACCTTATTCTCTTTGGGGTAAAGTAGATAGGATTTTCTCATCTATTATGATTTTCAGCAGGAACAGTGGATTTGCAGCTTTAGTTGAATCTGTCGCTGTCAAACATAAAAAGAACCATTGCATAGCTGACACGCACAAATATATTTGTATTTAATAAGCCTTGAGTGAGGTCTTTGTTTTTTTTAAAGAAAAGATTTTAAAATGTTTATCTGCATCAGCTAGGTTCTCTAACAATCCATCCCTTTTTGTCTGTCCTCCCTCTCTTCACTTTAATGATTTAATAAAGACACTCAGCCAACCATGGGAATATACTATATTTCCCTCTGACAAAAAGGCACACATTTTTATAAAAAAATTACTTTGAATGGTAAAAAAAAATAAATAGAAAGCTTTGTCAATATTTGATTAACAGAGTAATCTGGCCCCAAATCTGGCTATAGATATATTTGATTTTTCTGCTTTATTAGCATGGTAGCCTCTGCATAATGTTACTTAAAACAATTTCACAGAGACAAAAAATGAATGGTTTATAGCAAGGGAGTACCTTAGTGATGAAAGTTGGTGGGGGCGCTCTAAGGGTGGGGGCTGATGGACCTACAGTACTCCACAAAAAACGCCTTCAAAAATGTTTTTATTTTCCAAGAATGAGCTTAAACATCTATTTATTGAATGCTTTCCTATTGTTGAGAACACAAAAGAACCATAATACACTGATATTTAGACTGATACTACCTATATCATTTACACTGATATAGGTAGTTGCACATTAATGTATAGAAAAATAGGATGAAGAACAGCTAATTCCAATGCCAACAGCAATATGTCCTGCCTCCCTAGTATGGACACAATTTCAGTTTCATCCATCCATCCAGAAAAATGTGGATTGACTGATGGAGATTTTCTCTTTCAGCTACATTAGTGAATATCCTCCTTCAAAAGCAGCAAAACCAAATTTTGAAAATTGTCCCACATATTGCCAAAGTCTATGTACTGGAATTATCGGTGGGGACTCTCCCCACCAGGCCAAAGTTGGTGGGGACATGTCCACACCAGTCCTTCAGAAAGTTACGCCCGTGGTTTATTGTGATGGTTATTCAGGGGTTATTCTCTGAATTTAGCATACTAAATTAGAAATTAATTCAAAAGTTAAACGAGGGATTCATCCAGTTTACTGGTTACTCATTTTGTCAGGAGATAATAAATAAAAAAAAAAAAAAGTCACAGGTAGAGTCAGAATTCAGCCTGCTCCTCAGGAATTAGTTTTTCTTTAAGAAAAAGAAAGAAAACCATTCTGCCACTGTCACACTCACGTATCCCCTGTTTAATTTAACACTGTGTCTAGAGAGGCTGATGGCTTAGGGTGCTATCTTTGCCACTTGCAGGCTGATGGCGGAGCTGGAGGCTACCAGCAGCAGGCAGGTTTATAATCGTAATGAATGACTCCGCAGCAGCTGGTCTGTGATGGAAAGGTAATGAGCACAGGGAGCATGCCTCCGCTGCACGCTAGGCTTAAAGGGAGGAGCGTCCCAGTGGCTCCTCAGGTATGATCTTTTCACTTTCACTATCAACATAAAGCCACAGATTCTGAATCTCTCAGCCATTGAGCAGAATCAGCGGGTACATCACATACAGTATTCACTAAAAACAAAAGAAGAGAGTGACTGACCGTATACATAATTAAAGCGAGCAAGACTTAGATGCCACTGTACTTTATTTTGCTAAGCCCTGTACTCATTCTCACAATTTTATTCTTTATATCCTAACTTATCTTTGATTTAGCATTATTTCAAGAAAAACAAACTATTCAGGTTACAGGTTTACACACCAAGGTGAACAATGTAATAAAACCAATTAGACATGCCTGTAATCTATGTAATGGGTTAGCTTCATCTGGATTTATATACAGATATAGCTGGGTATCATCAGCATAACTAACAAACAAACAAACATTAAAGCAGGTGATGGTACTTTGGCCATGTGGGCCTTCCTAAGTCCTGCTAGAAAGTATAATCAGAATTTCTATATTTTCAGTCAGCAGAAGCATGAAGGGCTCTAAGATTTCCTAAGATGACATGGTATCCAAAATTATCATTGATGGGTAAACTTAACACTGGACTTATAGCAATGTGGAGTTTGTTTTTCACTGATCTTCCAGTCTATTGGAGCTTGACCTTTAAAATTCATTTCGATTTATAAAGAGGATTTAGAACATCTTAGCAACAGAGCAGTCCTTTTTCTCCTTCACTCAGGTAAGCCACTTCTGACATTCATCTCAGGTTCATTTGTATCCCATGACCTGCACACTACTTCGAAATCCTCTCCTGAGGAATATCATAAAAAACAGAATTCTGTGCAGTCAGCCTCTTGGCAATTACATTTGTTTTCTAGCTTGTGAAGCATGTCAAAATCTCTCAATTATAGTTCTTACCATGTTCATCTCGGCCATGACATAAGATATCTTAATTATTGGTCTTATAAGATTTGATAATAATATTCTAATTCTCATAGGAAGAGGATATTTGATGGGCGTAATAGACGGAGGGTACAGGTGGGATATGTCCCTCCTCTTTCAGAAACTGTGCCCTTTGTTGGCGGCACTTTTTTCTGCATTAACAACAATCAAATCTGCTATTTGCATGCGGTAGTGTTTTTCTTAGTCAACGCACCATATGCGTAGATTAGCAAGACACAGATAACTTTGAACAGTTTGTTTTTCCCAACAACCGCTATAAGTTAAATAATGCTGTTGTATGAAGATTACATTGTCTAATTGATGACTTGTTAATGCATCCTGTTTAGCTAGTTATGTTGTTACCTATTTTATATTCCTTATTAGATAATTCATAGTCAGAATAAACACAATTCTACCTATTTTGGTGTAGAACTAGTATTTACCATGGCTTTTCACATATTTTTAATAAACATTTACTGCTAAAATAGAAAGAGCAGAGGGAGCAAATAATGCACAATGATATTGGGTCTACAGGTAAGAAGAGGTAGTAAAAGATTAGTAAAAAAGGTAGTAAAATATTAAATTTAATTTGCTTTATTTATATAAGTGATCTCAAGGCCCTTTACAGAGACAATTTAATCAGATCACACTGAAAGATTGGTTAACATACATCTATCTAAAACCAAATAAGGTATCAGGGCAGAGTTCATAGATATTTCATAATAAAGTAATGTCACTCTCACTCCACAATATTTTTTTGGCTGTATAGTAATAGGTAGTAGCCCAGGCAGAAAGCAATGTATCAGGGCAGACATCATGCTGCAGCACTGACAGTCTCAGGACAATATTCTCTGGGTCATATCTACAAGAGTATATTATAGAATTTAATAGGAAATAGCTGATCAGCAATTAATTGCAGCCAACGTAATGCTCAGAAACTTGTTTTGGGGCTTCAGGAGAGATCAGTGCACTGCAACACGTGGATTTTGTGGGGGACATCTTTATTCCTAAGACGGAGAATTACATAAGAACAAGGCTGCCGAAAACACAAGTATATTTGATTAAGTATGAATTTTTATAGCTCTGGTCCTCACTGGTCCTGTTAACATCACAATCATTAAAATATGGTCTCTATTTTTTAATATACATTATTTAATTTTACCTGTAACTTTTAGTTGTATTAGGTTATTTTGTGAAGTTAATAAAGAAATTTGTGATCAACATTTAAAGATGTGTAAAAGTAAAATAAGTTTATATTTAGACTTAAAAAATATATTATGCATTCTCAAAAGAAGCAGGTATAGGTCTTGCCTTTTTTTAACCTTCATAACCTTTTTCTCCTCCATGCTGTGTATCTGTTACTTTTAACTAATATGTTAATTTGTTCAGAGCACTTTCTGCATTTGATTATAGTATGTGGGTTATTACCCTGTTACCTTAACACACCCAGTTTGCTAAGTAATAATTTGCTCACAAGAATGTTTTCCCCAAACATCTCATGTTCAGAGTTGTCATTTGCCCCTCAATGAAGTACTTACATTGTAAATGTCAGAGAGTTATTGTGGAAACAGAACCATAGTTTATAGCTAAAATTTCAGATGTTTGCTTAGAAACAAATGTTGGTCCCCCGGTGCTGTGATGTGGCTCTTGGTAATTATGTGGTGCCTAATTCACTAAGGAGAGGTTGGATTAGAAGCAAGAGGTAATATCTCAACTGACCACTGAAATGTCCCACTTGCTTCTGAAATGATGGTTACAGTCCTGGCTGGATGTGAAGGAAAACATGTAGTAGATAAAGTATATATATACACTAAAAAAAACTTTTACAAGTCAGTGTAACATGTAATCTTCTCTCACAAAGGTTTATTTATCATTATCTTTTATTTTTTAAAATCTCATTTGTTCCTATTCTGTCTAAAAAAAAATTCAAAGAATTTAGGTCAAACGACAGTTGTCATTCAAACAAAGACCCAGCAGAGGGCGCAATTGGGTCTGATCTGTTTGACGCTACTAAAGCTATAATAATAACTGTACTAAACAGATTAAAAAAACAGCATGGTTTAATTTCTAAAGATGCTTTAGCAGATGAGAAAAGACAATACTTTTGTTACTGATATCAAAATAATCATATATATATACATATATATATACATATATATATATAGAGAGAGAGTTTTATATTTTCTGTAGTAGATAATTTTTTTGGTCCTAAAAAGAAGAATCTATGTATTTATTTGTAGTGCAAGAGGATTCTTATAAAAAAAAAAAAATGTAACATGCAATATATTTTAATGCTTCAATTTTATTAATGAATGTTATAAAACAAC